AAATAAAAAATTTATATCTTTATGTTTGAAGCCTGAAATGTGGCAAAAGGTTGAAAAGTTCAAGGGGGCCGAATACTTTCGCAAGGCACTGTATACTGTACATGGGTATATTCATAGATTATTTGTCTCTTACATAGGTTTTTAGTTTCACTACCATTTTCTTTATTGTAAAGCTGTGCTTTACTTTTGAATTATAACATTTTGATCAGATAAATACTTCAAAATATCAGTGAAAGGTAGTACAATGCAGAAACAGAAGAAAAACTTGGGACGCAGTGAATTTTCAGTGCAAACTGGTGCACAAAGTAGTGTGGTATCAGGCTGTGGTACAGAGCACAGTGGTGAGCTCTCAGGCGCTGGGGTCACTGACCTTGGAGCCCACTTCACGGGTCTTGGCGCGCAGCTTGTTGACCTGGGACTCCGCAATGTCAGCCCTCTCCTCGGCTTCGTCCAGCTCGTGCTGCAGCTTGCGGAACTTGCCCAGGTTGGTGTTGGCCTGCTCCTCCTGACAAAGACAGACACACACCAGCACAGCTGGGCGTCAGCCCTGAGACTCAGGATGAAACACTGAGGCCTGTGTGTCGGAGTGGGGATGGTGTTGTCAGATACTTACAGCCTCCTCAGCAGCTCTCTTGTAGGATTTCACCTTCAGCTGCAGTTTGTCCACCAGATCCTGCAGGCGGGCCATATTCTTACGGTCCTCCTCCGTCTGTGCAGACACAGGGGCAGTCAGACATAGGACGAGTGTTACTCAGGACACACAGCACTGTCACCACACATACAGGACCCACACATGTAGAATCATGCACTCAGGACACGCAGACACTGGACAGCCACTCACAGACGCAAGATAGACGCACACAGACCCATGCCAGTCACACACACAGACACAGGACTGTGACACACAGACACAGGACATTACACACAGATAGAAGGAAAGAACAGGAGATACCTGGTAGGTGAGCTCCTTGAGGCGTCTCTCGTATTTCCTCATTCCCTTCACGGACTCTACAGTTTTTCTTTGTTCAGCCTCCAACTCGTTCTCCAGCTCCCTCACCTGCAGAGACATTGAATGAAAACTGTTACCAGCTCAAGCTAGTCTCTTCTCCTCAATGTGACTCCAGAGCTGATCTGCACACACACTCAGGCAGTGGCACAATCTGTCAGACACTCACGCGGGCCTCCAGCTTCTGGACTTGCTTCTTGCCGCCCTTCATGGCGATCTGCTCCGCCTCGTCCAGACGGTGCTGCAGGTCCTTGATGGTCTGCTCCATGTTCTTCTTCATGCGCTCCAGGTGAGCGCTGGTGTCCTGCTCCTTCTTCAGCTCCTCTGCCATCATGGCAGCGTCAGTGATGGCCTTCTTGGCCTTTTCCTCTGCGTTCCTGCACTCCTGCACAGCCTCCTCCACCTCCGTCTGCAGCTGGGATGTATCAGCCTCCAGCTTCTTCTTCTGGTTAATCAGGCTGGTGTTCTGCCACAGGGAAAGAGGGGTGAGCGTGAGGCTCTACACTTGGAGCCCACACTGTGGGGAAGAGCCTGGAGGATGACAGTACCTGGGAGTGCAGCAGCTGCACCCTCTCGCTGACGTCCAGCAGCTCCTGCTCCGCCAGCTTGCGGGCTCTCTCTGTCTGCTCCACCACCGAGCGCAGCTCCTCCAGCTCCGCCTGCAGCAGGTTGTTGCGTCTCTCCACAATGGCGATGTTCTCCTTCAGGTCATCGTTGACACGGAGGGAGTCGTCCAGCTGCAGCTGAGCATCCTGGGGGGGGAAAGAGCTCAGATTAATGACATTACTTTACTAGTATTCTGTGACTGCAGAATAAAATGAAATTTTACATCTGAGATGAATTTCAGTAATGAAAGTAAAGGTTGTCACCTTCAGATGGGAGTGCAGGCTCTTCAGCTGTTTCTGGGCTTCTGCCGCCAGCCTGTTGGCCTGGCTGAGCTGGATCTCCATCTCATTGAGGTCTCCCTCCATCTTCTTCTTTATTCTCAAGG